TGCGGAACTGATATCTCAGATGAAAGACGTTATTTGAATGGTCTTAGAACAACCTGAAAACTTAGTCAAACCATATATACAAGACAGAATTGGATACATAAAAAAAAAACAGTCAACAAACAAGCTGCTCTCTGATTGGTCTGAATGTTAGGTGTTAGGGTTGGGTAGCCAATCAGGCACAGTCTTGTAAGTAGCTTATGGTAAACTTGTGATCAGCTGTTTAAGATTAAACAGTAGAAAGTTTTTATTTGTTCAGTGTAACATGTACATGCATAGAAACCCTAAGGAAAGACATTAGGACATGATGGAGAGAATACCAGAGAACCACCAACCCCACTTTTTCTGGTCTTGAAATACTGTGACAGGAAATAAATAGCTACCCGGTACCTAAGAAGTCAAAGCTGTTGTCTAATTTGCATATCTGTTAGGAATGTAAATACATGAAGGGTTGAGGGTACAAGTCTATATTTCCAATTGACAGCGCACCCAAAGCTGAGATTATTGCCGTGAATATTATCAGATATTGACAGGTACAGCCAAGGATGGTGCTACTTCATCGCGAAATGATATCAGTAATAAAATGCATTTTACCAATTAACAAATAAGTGATGCCTGAAAGCATGCAGACAGCATATTTAATTGATTTCCCCAGTTATTTCAATACAGCTGTAATGATGTTTGTTCCTTTTGTCATCTTACTTAACACATCCCTGCCATATTGTCTGTATGGTAACTGCTGGAATCCTGTGATAGTGCCAATAGTGGAAAAGACAGGAAGTATACAAATACCTCAGATAAAAATGACATGAGCACTACATAAATTCAAACTCAAGTCTGTTCACTATTAACCCCCCCCCCCCAATAAAAACATTAAAATGAATTCTGTGATGTTACATACTTATTATGATTTGAACAGGATGATCACTAGATTGGTTGTTTTTCATAAAATTATATACTTATCAATTTTTTTTTAATGTTAGAATATGATAATTGAGAACAGAGAAAAGAATTAACCATTTTCCATATACAACATAACGTAATTTTTGCTAACGTCAATTCACAGCAGGATTTTTAGTAAATCTACAAAAAAAAATTCAATTTACTGACAGAGTACAATTATCTATCATTGCATATTCAAATACGATCTAATCACTTTATTAAATTACCGGTACACATAGAGTACTGTGAACTGCTTTAGTTTTGCCAGACACAAATTACCAGTATTGCAAATTTAGCGAGTCATTGAAAATGGCAAAATCTTGTAGCAATTAAAATTTTACTGGGGTCCTACGACACTAAGTATCAGTGACTTTCGTGAAATTTTGTCTTCAGGAATGCCATAATATCCTGAAAGTTACAAACATTTGTAATATATGCAACATATGCAGAATTATAAACAAGTCACAAACATCATACATGTTGACAACAAAAAAAAGAGCATCAGAAGAATTAACTGATCACTATGTACAATGTACAACTCAGGATATTTGTTGTTTTACATTACTTTTTTGTACCTTTATTTAATTTTACAAAATTTTAAGTAAACTGAACAGTAGGCAGATTCGCCAGCAAAGTGCACATCAACAAACAGAAATGAGTTCCAGGATTTTAATTATTTAAAGTCAAGGACAGTGTAGCTTTCACCAAAGATGTCCATTTCAGTTCATTAACTAATGTATAAAAAAATAAATAAATTGAGCAACAGTAAGTGGAATCACAAATGAGAAAGCTTTCGTAAATATCCGAAAATAATTTAGCCAGCAAAATGCACATCAACTAATAAAACCAGGTCCCAGGATTCCTATTGTTAGGATCAAGGACACTAAAGTTGACACCAAGTGTCTATTAAAAAAAACATGAATAGTTTGGTACCTAAGGTACACCCTCCCCCCATTCAATAAAGTTGTCATTCGGAATAGTCATTTAAAATTGAAAGAGGATACAACATCTGAATACAATCCAGGTCCTATCTAGGTCTGATGCCACACATCATGTACATAGCACATGTACATGTAAGTAGGTTATGGCATAGTTAATGGTAACCCTTACCCTGAACAAGATTTCCAGTCCATTTTTTTTCTTCATTTTCATTATTTTTAATAGACACTACCTTATTTTTTCTAGTAGTAGCACATTTATAAAATTGCCAAGTGTGTCTACGGTTAAAATAAGTCAAAAATAAATGGCTGAAATGTTAAACAATTATTATATATAAATACTGACAAACAAACAAATATAGCTATTGACCAGCAACATATTTACAGATACCGGTTTTATAATTAGTACAAGTTGATATACTTTTAAAATAAGCATGCCATCTCAACTACAGGTGCCAGTCAATACAATACTGTGTAGTTGACGATATTATGACCCAGTTTAGGAGATAACCTTTCAGTATCTCTCACCTGTACAATACTTCTACTATATTACAACTTCAAACAATGTATGCCTTTCATGGTGTCTCTCCCAACGTATCACCTGATCATGTAATGACAGCTTTATTTGTAATAACTAATGTACATGTAAATACCTTTCAATAATCCAATGACGAAATACTTTGACATACATACTACAGCTTGTGCTTTGGTATTGTAATATGTTCGTGATTTGTTCACGAATGTACGATGCAAAAACTTTGGCACTGTATTTTATGTTAAGACATTGCCTTGCTGATTAGTGTTTTGTTTTTTTCCTTATTGATTTTGGTATATCTGTACATCCAGCAGACAATGTATTAATTAATTAATTAAAAGTACAGTGTTTATTAAATAACATTAAAGTGGCTAGTTATTTTGTTTAGACTATACATACACAGAAATAATATCAATATTATTATTAACAGATTGCCTGCTGACTCATTGATTTTAGTATGTCAGTAGAGGCATTCAGCAAGGCAGTGTGTTAATTAATTACCAGCACAGTGGGAACTCAATTGAATAATATTATATTGACTACTTATTTTGTTTAGAACTATATATGTATGCAAAGAATAACATTACAATTAACATACTGCCGACTGAAAACCTCCAGAGAATGAAAATGAAACCGAAAAATGGCTTTAGCAGGTGATGTCTAAAAATCAAAACATTGCTACAGATATTGAACCTCAGCTTTGCATAAAAGAAGTGCATTGATTTTGCACCGCATCTCGCAAGACTGACATTTTTCATAATCACGATTGTGGAATGTCAGTATTGTGCCTCAAACATTAAAGAATTAGTAAATTTCAATTGGCCCTGAAAATGCAAAAGGTTACCATTTTGCTATCCAATAAAATGCAATATTAGCTGCCGAGGGATTGACAAATACAAAAATACAAAGACACAAGCAAACAGTCACAGATAACTGCAGTCTTTTTTTTTTGATGTTAGATCTCTGGATTTGAATGTGTTTTTGAATATTCAACATTTTAATATTTCAAAACAAGTTGCATCACACACTCCAGAATTCCTTTAAAAAAAAATCATGCAATAACACTTGGGATATTAATAATAATGAATAACCCAAAACTACCATCCAATATGGTGCCATAGGGAGTTATTTATAATTGTAATACTAGTGATACGTTTGATGGGCGTGTCAAGTTACTGCATCACATTTTAATGGCATATAATTTGATACATAAATTGTATTATTATAGATTATGCAATATAAATGGTCTAATTATAACTTTGTAACAGTACCGGTAGTACAGTTATTAGTTTTTTTCATAGTTATTATTTAAAACATCAAAATTGAAGCCCCTGATCATCATCTAAATCACAGCACACAGAATGGCTGACAACTCCCACCAACTGATCAATTATTATTTTTTCCAACATTTTTGCAGGCCCCTTCTGATGAAACATGACATATTTTGTAGATAATTCATTACTTTTAATGAGTTAGGTAACACTATACCAGTAATAGTTCTAGACAACAATGCACTTTTTTTTGCAGTGACCGTCAAGGTCAATATTGTACTAGAAAATTCCATTTTTCAACAAACATGTTTATTAATAATTATACTGGTAAACATGTTATGACAATAACATTTCAAAGAGTAAATGAAAGAGGCAACATGGGAATTCCCTGGTAACCTAATGCATCTGGTGTGTCAATACAAATATTCACAATTAGTTTTCTCTATAAATAGATCACAAATTATCAACAGTGAGAATGATTACATCATATTGCTCACACAGAGTTACAAGTTAATTATTATGTTATAGTTTCTGGTGTAAAGCTTTATCTTCCTGTATAAGTATTTGACAACTAAGAATAGGACAGTTCAGAGTTTGTATTTGCACACAGGATGTTGCCACATTCACACCACGACTGTTGTACAATTTGGTGCTGTAAAGCCTACTACTCCGCATTCTACTACTACATTACCTATTCAGATATTACTGTGGAAAACCACTGACTGAAACGAGAATTTAATAATTATAAAGGAATAAGATTAATAACTACCACTTATCTATATCTTATATCGGTTGGTCCTATGGCCCCAACTGCTTTCAACTATTTTTAGTTTAATTAAACATGGGTTAATATATTTCCAGGTTTTACCATCTGGGGGTCAATGTACATTTTTTAAGACAAGATTCAACTAGTTCATGTTGTGCAAGATCAGAGATAAACCATTAGATTAATTAATGCATCACAAATTGCCTGTGACAAATGGTGACCAAGTACAATAATATTATCTGCATTCAGACGTAGTGCACTGTAAGAAAATCACAAGTGATCCCAACTAGACATTATCCCCAGACCAACAAGTCAGATTAAACTGCCACTGTTTCTCTGTCCTCTAAGCTCTACCATGAGAAAGAGAATTCTGCACTTTAATTTAACCAGAAAGTCTGACGGACAATGGTTAGAATATTTTAAGACATGGATATGATTGTTATTATTCAAATTTTAGACATGATTACAACCATATTGGGAAGCCACACTTAGTTAGAATTCCTCACCTGCATTGGACGATGTTTTATAATATAAATAATAGTGTACACTACCTGTCCTCGCCTTCTGACTGGCCATCTGTTGATGGGGCTCCAGAAGACATGTCATTGACATTCAGCGTATCTCTGATATGCTCCATCATAGAAAGGGAACTATAATCAGTAAGCCCTGGGAGAGTGGAAGCAGGCTGTGACTGTGTTACCGATGACTGCACAGCCTCCTGTCCCTGATTCTGATTCCCACCTTGAGGTTGTGCATTGTTCTGTCCTGTGTTTTGCTGTGATGTTGGTATGTTTTGTTGGTTTTGCTGTGGGGTCGGATTCTGAGTTGGCGTGCTTGAATTTGTAGATTTCACCTGTGGCTGTATATTGGTAGTTGGTTGTTCACTTACAGGCAAAACTACAGGGTTTTCTGTAATTGCATCCTGACCGGCAGTGTAATGAACCGAACTTGCTGCACTAGAATTTCCAGAACCCGGCTCTATCTCAACGGTTCTTTCCGGAACATTAATGGTTTCAACTTTTGGCTCTTTTGGTTTCTCAGCTGGGTCCAAGAAATCAGTACAAGTCCACCTACCCCGTTTGATCGGCTCCGTTGTTTCAATTTTAACAACTCGAAACCTGGAGGGACCGTTTCCCTGGTTGTTGCCATTGACAGTCGGTGGTAAGGTTTCCTTAATAATTTCCGGAGACATGAGATCTTCGTTTGATTGGTCGAGATCTTGTGATGTGTTTTTGGACATGTCAAGTAAGTCAGAGGACACATCCTCTGCGTGACTTTCGTCGAGTTCATCCATACTTTCAGCATCATCATTGTTGGTGTTCTCCGACACCTTGACACTTGTTATTTGGAAGCAACTCTTCTTCTTTTGGCTAGCAGCGGTACCTGTTAGGTAAAGCTGTGAGCTTTCATCACCACCTACATCCATCGCATGTTTGTCCGCCATTATTTCTTCCTGTAAACCACCCTCTGCCATCTTCAGTCACAACACGGTGAAAATTATCACAGAAAACTCGACAGTGTTACCCACCTCACAAAGTCAAAATCGTACATAATAACTTCCATGGTTATCCAGTTATTATTTGGTATCAGTTCTGCGTCGACTGACCACCAAAATGTAACTTTTGCAACCAATTTTCGTCGAAAACCGGTCAACTACAAACTACACAGGCTTCTTGTACAAAACCCAAGATGGCGACAGTCATGTGTCATATACAAAGGATGATGGGAAATATTGCGTCGACCCTTTCGACACCGGGGGCGTCACTCCAACAAATACAATTTCAAATTTCGCCCGCGAGAGTCAAGTACGACCTCATTGCAATGATAATATCATTGTTGGGCTTCTTTTTAAATACAGTCTTAATTTTTACCTTTTTTATTTATTTATCTTAATAATTATTATATTTTTTAGTTATTATAATGTTTATTTTTCAAGGCTTTTTTCGTCAATTTGTTATTAGCGGGCTTGCGATCAAGAACAGCAATAAGCAAATTTGCCTGCCAGCAAAACAAGACAAAATAATAATAGCAAAATATATATATCACAAAACGGGAAAAACATTTTAAATTTAAAATTACATAAATAGAAGCCCAACAAAGACATTATTTTACTTATATTTTTGCTAGTTGGAGGCTTATTTGGATTGGTGTCAGGGGCCGGGTTTTAGAGTTCATCGAGTCCGACGATGACGACTACGTGAAGAAAGCTTCCCAAGTTGAATATAAACCTGCATATTTTTCTACAGATGCAAAAAACAAAGAAGTCCGTGTGCCTAATTGTACCACAGTCACTTATAACAAAAATAACACATTAAAGGGCGGTAGTCGTCGCGTGTTGATAAACATTGATTTTCCCCGCCATAATCCAATGCGCTTTTCTAATTACATGTATACCTTCCACTAAAAAAATACCTAATTGAAGCATGGTAACCTCTCAGTATGTACTCGTTGGTGCGCCACAGTCAAAGTCGCCATTTGTTTTTATATGAGACCCGTCTCGCGCATGATTGTGACTAACCCTCGTGACTAGCCCTCGTATTTTAACATTTGGTACGCGTCGGAGCTTGGGATATAAGTTGCAGAATAATAAGTCTTATATGGAATCAAATGTTTTACTATATGTGGCTATGTTTGATAAAGTTTTAATTTGGACATTAAACATCATATTTGTACTTTTGTATATTTTTTGAAATTATTCCCACTATGAGTAACATAATAAGCGAGTTTCCTCAATAAATTAACTTAAAACTTATACACACGGGTAACAGAACGTTTACCACGGACTTAGAAATTGGTTGATTTGAACTAAACCTAAAGTTTGACTGAACAAAATGTGGACCTTTTAAAACACACCCGGTAGCATGTGGTTCGAAAATGTGGTAAAAGCCATATACGTCCACTCTTGACGCAGCAGTGCGTCCACCATAATAGACACAACACCTCCATAATATCGTATTGTATCCATATAAATATTGTGTGAAGTGTTACATATTTCATATTGAATGTGATGCCTTCCAGAGATGACTTAATATAGTACATGGACTTTCACTGTGTGTATGGATTATGGGTTGTGTAATGGCTGAGTCAAGTCAAGAAATTATACACACATTGTGACATATCTTCAGCAGAGAAACAAAGAATTGAAACATAAAATTTCACCGCGTTGGGCTAACAGATAAACTTGAAATGGAAACAAGAAGAAGAGGGTAGCTTCTCAAAGAAGACAGTACTTTATATGCGAATGAAAAGTTTACTGAGTACGATCTTCTAAAATATGATATGACAAATGTGATGAAAGAACTTAGGGATATACTCGGCACAGTGGATAACTCATTACATTTTGTTAATAATATGCATATATGCTTGTATTACAATCTTTTAAAGTGTCAGAACTTCAAGAAAATTAAACTGACCAGCAAATAAGAGTTCAGCGTTTAAGGTAGAAGTCTACTCATGAATGCCAATACCCAGAATTTATTCATTTTGCATACTTCGGATATACTCCCGGGCAATATAAGCATATTAACTTAAAAAAGTTGGGGTCACCATCCTAATTTTTGAGAAAATGATTGTTGTATTGTAGTGGATGGTGTCCATTTTGGCGTCAAACTGTAGTCAGGTGACATAGGCTGAAAAAATATACATTGTGACTGATGGGGTACTTTTTGTAGACCTCAATTATTTCAAAAAAATGGATTTTAAAAAGTGTGGTCTAAGTTTCTGAAAACACATCGCTGTAACGCACAAAATAATGCTGTTTCATGGTGCAATGGGACAAAGGCTCCATGATTTTACATAATAAACCAATGAACAGCGTCTCACTTCTACCTTAATAATCTATCCAGCAAAGGTGGAGTATTTTATCATTTGCGCTCATAGCTCCGAATATTGATCCTTTGATTGATCGTTACGTTTTCTCATTATGATGTGTAAATGTTGACCACAATGAGACACCAAACGCCAGTATTGCCCAATATATTCCTAAACATTTTACATATATAATTTTAAAATTATTGCTACGACGTGCCACACCCTTTTTTGAATCATGCTTAATAATAATAAAAAAACATATTCTAACCGCACACTGCCAGGGTGTGCTCTAAAAGGTTCATTATACCACTATATTCGTTAAAACCTAAGATCTAGTTCCAATTGCATGAACTTGTTTTTTTATCAAGTCTTGGACTATATCTATCTAGTCGCAGTATTCCGCCCACGATTCAAGTCACGCACGCAGCACACGTTTATTTTAATAAACAATATCCTACTTTGCTGTATGCATGGTGTTATTTATATTACTTATACATGTATGTAGTCCGACTAACCAGCAACAAAAACACGCATACTAACTCTGCCAATAAATTAGTAATATCGCAGGCGCCAGTGTGCTCGAGAAAAAAACTCGCACGTGGACAGACAGATACGAGGAATACAATACGCCGTTTATAGTATTCCCCGATCGAGTCATTCCGCCTCGCTTATCTTCACCAGATACATGTGTTTATCTAAGACATGATGATGCCGGTAACCATGGGTAACACAAATGTGTTAAACAAGCTGGGATCCTTTGGTAATTGCTCATATTACAACAGGCGCCATCATTAAATTAAATGTTCATTCAATACAATATTCAGTAACCCGCTGTATTACACAGATCCGTATAAATTGGGTAGAAGTATGCACATCGAAGAACAATCAAATGATGTAATTTTCTCAAAATTCTGTTAGATATTTGGGATGATGGTTTTGAGTGCCAGTGGTGTGGAGAAGTGTGACAATGCGGTTATACAAGACGACTCGGAGTGACTTGAGCAACTTGCTGGCTGTGGAGTAATGAGCAATACGTTCATTTACACGTACAACAGGTTTGTGGCAGATATCACAGAATTAGGACCACTGTCGAACGGAATTTAAATAAGTACAGACTGCTGATCGACACATGACACCGTTCGTAAAATAACGTCGAATTAAAAAATAATAAATATTAATTTTAAATTTTCGAAAAAAAAAGATTTGTAAGACCTGTGAATAAGCATGTTTATAAATGCATGCATGATGATAAGTTCCACACTGTATTAATAAACACAAAAGGCTGCTATCACGTACGCACTGCGATAACAGTGGTACATTCGTCACGCATGCAAGCGGAAATAACTATCCTCCTCGTTACTTGTATGAGCATAGACACTAAAATACATTTTAAAGCGCGGTGGTCGTCGCGCAGAGCGTCTTCGAATTTCATGTAAATAAACAATTTATTTTACACGCGTTGTATAAGTCGCTATGAGTCCCACATCGAACAGAACGCGGCGTGACGAACACCTCCCTTTAAAATGTATTTTAAGGTCTATGATATCATGAGTAAAATTGATGGTTGGGCGCACCGCCCTCAACCGACTACCGCTGACAGACGAAGACTCGTACTTGGACGCAAAAGTTCATGGGACAAGGTACGAGTCTAGCACAGGGCGGGGCGAGAACGAGACGATATCTTACTGATACGTACTATTTTAGACTGCGAACAGGTTACATTATTTTATGGTACATTTTAATGGTAAACTAATATTAATATTTCTACTTAGTTAAAGCGGGGAGTCGTCACCTGCGCATGCGTCAAATGGTCATAGCGTGTCATTTACAAACAAGCGTCTACCCAAGAGCCTTTGCTTTTTAGTGTGTGTTGTTGTCGTCGTTTGGGACTCAATTCCCGCGCAATACTGCTGGTTTAGTTGCTTTTGCTTTTTAATAATAATAATAATAATAATCTTTATTGATAAACGTATCCTTAATTGAGATATTGTTCGTAATACAATACAATTAAATGTTGAAGGTTAAAATGAAATGAAATATTAAAACAAAAATAGAGAAAAAAAACACAAAAACAAACATTTTTTTATGAGGCAGCTGGTACTAGTAATTTAGATTTAATTTTTTCTTCTTTGTTTTGATCGGTCGGCGTTGCAAGAAATTTGTTTGAAGAAAGAAAACAATCGATATATATATATATATATAGTCAAGCATCAATCTAACGTGCTTCAAGTGTGTTTGACCGTTATCAAAATTCATAGTAACTTTACATTGAGTGTAGTGCTGTAATCTCATGAAAGACATACTAAGTGAGCAGAGAGTAGATGTATCCTATGCCGAAATCACAACGTCGCGAAACTTCGTGTCACTGTGTGGTTTGAAGAAATACAATGTAGTGTGAAATGTACATCATATAATTGTGGTTCTTGATGAAATGTACAAGCAAGTATAAAGTTAAATTCATTCTTATTGCGTGCCCTCCATATAGTGTGCATCGTTGGTATCTAAGTATGGTCCCGGGAGTATGGCAAGGCTACCACGTTCAGACATATGACTTTACCCGAAAACAGATGTCTCCACGTCGTTCCAAAGCAGTGTTTAACTCACGTTATTTATCAAGTGTATACTATATCATTAGGCAAGGTGTAGTACCTGTCAGCCTTGGGTGCCAACTTCCCACATAAAATGTTTGGTTGACGTCAGTAAGGGCATACGGTCATAAAAACCTTGCACCAACAGATCCGCATAGGTGGACAATATTTTATGTAAATATGTATATACTAGTATATACGTTTCAGTTGTCCTTAGCATTTGGCAGGGGGAATCGTAACCTCTTGTAGTGAGAACCAGTGTGACTGGCCTGCCAACAGGATGCTAAGGTTTTTATAGTAAAAGTTATCAGTCACTTTCGTTAATGTAATTTCGTTTTATTTATCCGTATATCAAAAATCACTATATCATGATATATGACAATATCGACCCAAGAGAAAAGTGTCTATGATTGTACCGTATACCCAAGGGACTAGGGTATATGATTGCACAAATATCTGTCTATATGTTTAATACAAACGAATTAACAAACATATCTCAGTTTATTGAAACTAGTGAAATTCCTCGGAAGGAATTAAATTGGTTATTATCAGAGTTGACAATTACCCATAATGCATCAGAATGAGTGATTATGATCGCTAGTTCCATTACAAACATGGAAAAAAAAAACATTGAAATAAAACTGTTTTCACCCAAACCAACACACACGATAACTCTAGTATTTTTGAGAATGTTCAAATAATTAATTTTGAACAATCGTTTTGATAACAACTACATTTAGTTGGTGTAATTCATCATAAAATAAAGCCTTGTTTTGACAATTAAAAACGCCCTGAGTGTGTGTGCGTTTCGACTTCAGTAACGAATATATACACCACGGGAGCCAAGATGTTACATTATCCCGTCTAACAAAACAACGTTTTTATTATACGATGTTACATTCTACTGTCCCAACCAAGATATGTCAAATAAAACTATTTGAACATACTAAAAATACACCGATGGTATTCATAGTTTTTTCAAGCAATTACAAGTGGTGTGCAGTATACACAACATATATCAATTAACCTAGAAATCACCAAAACGTGTTTCTTACTGAAAAAAAAAATTGTCCTTTTTCATGAAATATACAAGGCACTGGCAGTTTGAGCCGAATATATAAGCAATGCATTATGGGAGATGAATTATCATTGTACAATAGAAAACTAGTGTCAGCTTGGAAACTCACTAAATTATGTTATTTGTTACGACTTTTTCACCCCATGTCCCGAAGCAACATTTTTAGTGCGAAGAATATTATCTCACCATAGAAACCAGTGTAAAAATGCCAGTTTTGACTATTTTTCATTTCAAACCCTTGTATCTCAGAAAATCAGCCGTTGACCCAATTTGTTTTCTTTTCCGATGGTATAAAAGTATGACGAACAAGACATATTTTTTTTTCCATACTTTTCAATTTGGCTCTAAACCTCCTCAAGTGTATCTTGATATGTCAGCAGTATAAGTTGATAATAGACCATTTTCCGTTCACTGCGAGAATCACGCGTTATGCGTGAAATCGAACGTAAAAACAGGACAAACAAAGGTCATAGCGTCGTAGTCGCGTCAAACATCGCGTGGGATTCGACAAACGCGAAAGTATTTCGAGGACATTTCCATGCTTAATAATGTGCTGTCCACATTTGATGATAGGCAATTTCGATTAAGTAAGGGTATTCGGAAGCAATATTCCTCTGTCGAAGATCGGCCGGTCAATGTAAGTACAGTCCCTCTATAGAGGGACTGTGATGTAAGCTACGAAATAAAGAAATTCTAGTTCAAAATCAAATCGTTCGATTTTTGCGGCAGACGTTCGACGCGCGTCTTTCATGCATCTCGCGAGATCTCGCAATTGTACGGAAAATCACCTATTGTCCGAGTATTAAGCAGATTAATATGCATTGCACACGGATGTCACGAACTGTAGCATAAATTTCTGTAATGTCGACTATAGGTGGCGCTGTTATGCTGTGAACCATGTGCAGTTTAAAAAGCCATGCTGTGTGCATTTTGGCTTTTTATTTTTGGAAATTGGCATCCCAAAAGTCTATTTGTTCCATATTTGATCTTTGTAATGAAATGGACACATATACATACTCATTTAAATTTCCTACTAATGCCTACTGGTCTTAACCACATTATTGAAAAATGTTGGAAAAAAATTAATTACATTAATATTGTGAAAAACAGTTGGCTTTGTCGTTATATCAGTTGAGAACAGTCTGCAGTTGAGAATGATTTTATAATAATAAAGAATAATCGAAATAATCAAGAATAAAAAATAATAAGACAGTAATGAGGACAATGCAGCTTTCCTTCAGTCGTTGGGGATTGTGTCTTGGGGTAACATGTAGTTATATACAAAATGTAGTGAGTTTTTTTCACCTATGTCATTTACAGCGTCGTCATTGTTCAGGTATAGCAGCCATTGTGGAGTCCAAGCTCTAGCCTTTTCACCACCAGACTTCCTCGCCCAAATTTGTTTTCACTTTTTTCTTATATTTTTCAATAATTCTGGAAATGAACCCTAATTTTGAAGCCAACAGACAAAATTTTCAGTTGCTACTCGAAAGAATTTGGCTATTTTTGTCCTAATCTTCTGAAGGAAAGAATTTGAATTTGTGAAGAAATAAGGGAACTGGTGGTGAAAAGGCTAGATCCATGATAAACATTGTTTGTGAAACCCACTCATGCTGGAGGTCAGATCACGTACGCACAAAGACCTACATAGAGCTCCATTGATTTAAAATGAGAGCAGCGATTTTTCTACTTCTTACAAACACACATGCTGTCAACCACTATCATCTACATGGTATATTTAGTAACTGCCAGTGAGAAAAAATGAAACCACACATCTCGTACAAAACACATAGCTTATACAGGTGACATTTTTAAAACACTTGGTTTTAAAAACTCCCAACTTTTATTGGTTTATTTACTAAAATTTACGTGTTTGTATCTTCAATAGTGATCAGAAAATACAGATGAAATGATTTAATCATAAAGAAGAATAGGTACAATAATATTCAGACTTTTCAGACTATTCAGACTTTCTCTTCACGTTCTACACGCGTTTATAACAGTGTTCTATTATTTACGTTGAATGAAACAACTGTATCAGTAAAAGCTATGATCACCGATCTGATAAGTTGAAGACATCATCTACTTGAAAGAAAGTACTGTACACGTTATTTCAATTTTATATCAATAATTCATTGAATTGTAATTTCACTAGTATTGCTGATGAAGTTTGTTACAAGTACCGGTAATACAATTTATTGTTTCAATAATAAATTCATTAATTTAAAACTCTGCCAATATTCTCAAAATATTAAAATAGTGAAATTAAATCGCAGTGAAAATTAATTATTTTACAGGGCAGTATGCCTGCTGACACCGTTTTTTTTCCCCATTTATTTTGGCTACCCATAAAGGGCTGTCAGCTGGTGATGTATTCAATGAATAAACATGGCAGTGAAACAACAAATGGTACTTATAAAAGAAAGAACAAAACAATATGTTTTTTTCACTATAAACTGGCAAAATAGCACCGTACAAAAAAATGTCTCATTCACAACAATTGCACATGATTTTATATTTCTAACTACTAGAAATTCAAATTGTGGCACCCATAAAAAAAGACAAGTGAATGAAAAAGACACTCTAAAATACGCTTTTAGGCTAAAAGTCAGAAAAGAGTATTCTAAAACACAGTTAAGCAAGCTGAACATCTCGATAATCATAGGTTTTTTTTTTCCCCAACAAGACTTGTCACACGTAATTTGCTTTGCATGAAAACTATGACATAGGAATGTATCTCTTGTGTACAAGAATACACAAAAATAAACTTAAACTTGAAATGTCAAGAAAAAAAAATCCCTTTGTAAAGTTTAAAGCTATGCCACTATATTTTCTCAGATAAATTATATGAAACATCAGGAAAAAAGGCGGAACAGAATAATGCTCATAAGATCACATGAATTTTTGCAACTTTTTTCACAGCTGAAAATAAAAATGGACCCAACAGTTTTCAATTTAAAATCTCCACAAATATGAGGTACAAAAAACAAACAAAAAAACGCCCTCTCAGTATAAGTGCATTTGCAACGAGATGAATGGAAATATCAGAAATATCTCGTGCCAATTTTCTATTTATCCTCCCTCCACTCTAAAGTACCGGGTAGCGTGCAACCTAAATTCTGTAAAGTATTCACACATTTAGTTTCATCACAAGACATTATGTACTGTATGCACGCATAAGATGAAAAACTTTGACGCCAAATAAGAGTTGGTATAAGTCATATCATGACAACATTTCCCTCACCAGCATCATTTCGCAACTACGACTACTTCACCTGCGACGTAACCGTTGAAACAGAAATTAAAAAACAGCAGGAATCATCCTATCCGAAAAAAAACATTAGTCCAAAATTCACCCAAAATGTTTTAATATACAACATTTGTATAGATAATTATAGATAAATTGTATATATGTATAATATTTATTTACAGTTTGGTTGAAAATGAGATTGCTTTGAAAAAATGTGAAACTAGTTTTCTGTAATACATTCGTAATAACAAAACACCTTTAGGAGCACCGTACAAAAGCTGACATCTCAATATTTTTATTATATTATATTATATATATATGATATCTGATATATATAGATATTATGATGAGAGTAGGCAAACATCATAAATGGACAAGGTTTTGGAAAATATGCGTGGGGGAAAAAACTTGGATTCGCTTAAAAAGCTTCTGACACCAATTGTAAATAATTTTTTTCAGTAGCCGTTCTTTTCTTCATTTTATTGCTATAGTAACTTTTGTCATCTCATCATTCCTCCTCTGTGTTGTTTCCGGCGGCCACATCGCCATAGTGAGATCTTCCACAGAACAGGAGCTAATAGTAGGCTAAGCGTAGTTATGCTTAAAATTAACAAATAAACCTGTAAGAGAAGGTAAAATATTATTAAGATAACACAAAACAGAGAACTTTGATCTTATCAATTTTATTGTTATAATAATAGAGTACAAAGAAGGTAAAAAAAAATCCTTTACCTCTCTTGATAACATTCCTAATCTTCTAGCACGACTGCCGAGCACAAAGGAGAATTCACTGACTTGAGCCAGACCCGCAGCAACTATCCATTTTATATTGCTACCACCAACAGGCAGGAGAACGCTTAGCACAAAAACACCAGTCACAAACTGTGAAAAGAATAAACAAATACAACTCATTTGAATTATAATTAAAGCAGGCTACATGATTTATACAAATGTATTATATTGATACATGTGTTTGAACTCTGCAGAAATAAATACACGCACACACACACACAAAGTTAACAACACAACAATAACGCTGCTGAAGACATTATTTGTATATAAGGCTAATACCCCAATAAATGTTGATTCTAGTATTAATCATGGCTGTAAACATACAAAATGTTATTTTTTTGGACATAATTCAATTTTCCAAAAATAATGACCAAAATTCAGTATAGGACTCACCTTGATGATGACTACTGTGAAGGTCAGTGTCAATAACACAGTGAATTCATAGGCAACAAATGTAGGGAACACATGAAGACCTGAAATAGATTAAATGAGAGTCAACATACAGGTGAGAAGTCACAATGTTAATACAATGTACAGTCAAATCTGTGTTAATGAGGTATATAAAGAACACCTGTCTATAGTGACCACCTGTCTATAGTGACCACCTGCCTGTAATGACCACTTTTAGGCTGTCCCAGGGGCATAATATGAGAGATACTTTATTTTCCCGATAATTTATTAGGATTAACAGGTCAAATGTGTGATTTCATTTCCACATCAAACAGTGTCACCATTACTTTTGTTCTCTTAGTACACAGGTACAAAGATTCAACTGTCTTTACACATTGTGGATGAAATAAAAAAAAAAAAAAAAAATTTATGGAATGGAATTTCAAAACTGAAGTCTATCACTGTAACACTGCAAGCTGACAATATTGCATTGCAATACAACTGGCATTCAGTATGCTGTTGTGATCATAGGCATAAGCATTTTCAGTGTCAAAATACACAAAATTAATTTTGCAAATATGCTTTTGTTTAGAGATCAAAATAATATTTAGCATTGCATACATAAAACAATTTCTAATTTCCTCAAGTCAAACTTATTTTATTTTACTCAAATAAATTTGTTTTTTAATTCGGTACTATCTCATTATTCTCTGGACTAATGTCATGTCAAATGAACGAGTTGGTGACCCATAAAAAAATAATCCAATCTTCACATAAAGACCATTATAATGATGAAGTCTTATGGGTGGTCACTATACACAGGTTTGACTGTATTAGGAGAAACTATTTTTTTTATATATATAAAGAATAATGTTAAACACATATTATCATTATATGTATACTGTCACACACTATCCATACCAGTTCTTCAAAGCATGGTTATTAAAAACATGACCATGTTTAAAGCAAACAATACAAACTGTAAAACGGTTAATTATTCACTGGGTTTTAATTTTGCTTATTTCACTGACTGGAAAATGCGCTAAATTAAAACCCAGTCAATATGTAAACTTTAGCATAGAACACATTATCTAAATGATAAAACCATGAATATGCCTGAAATGCTAAATCAGTGAAATTTAAACACAGTACTTAAAACAATTTTACAGACAAAATACAAGTTGAAATAATAATATTTATATTTGACAAAACATGTCAAAATTTAACTTGGCCAAGATCCAAAAATGATTAACAATATATCCAAATGTGAAAAAGTTTGATTAGAAACTATTAGAATTATTATATCATAAACCACAATAAAAAAATTGACATGGAAGTAAACAACAAAAGGGCAAACGTTTGTTCCTCAAATAACCCAACTTTCATCCATGATACACGGGCAGTGTAAAGATAATTTCTAA